CGCACAAAAACTTGGCGTACGCACTTATCCACGCTCACGTTCAGATGTATCAAGAGTGAAATGAACGTGGAAATGTGCGGTCCTCCACGCCAACTTCTTGACTGGCGTACGCACGTTTCTATTGCTTTTGAGCCATTGGCGACACTTAGAGGTGATACTGGGAATATAAAAATAAGGTCATTCTTCTAAGTGATGTGCTCATCAGAGATACACAGATGAACAATGAACACACCCAGGTGTTTGCAATCAGATGAGCGGATATAAAAGTGTACGTCTTTTAGAAATGTGGAAATGTGCTTGGATTCCGGCGTACGCTCACTTTCGTTCATCTGGATTTTTTTGTGCGTACACAGTTTTCAGGATTGAAGCGTACGCCAGGTTTCAGTATGAAATCCATGCAAGTCTTTGTACATGAGGCCCCAGATGAACGAAAGTGTGCGTACGCCTGAAGCCAAGCACATTTCCTTTGTACATCTCACTCAGCGTGGAATTGATCGCACATGTTGGAGTACCAGACTCCTCCCTCCCCACGCCCCCAATTTAAATATGCAAATTAGTATAAATAGGGCCCACAGGTGGGATACCCCTCTCTGCACGATCAGATAACACAAACCACAATGAGCAAGAAAGGTAAGAAAAGAAATTTTACGGAGTGTGAGCTGGAGACGCTCCTCAATGAAGTCGAGGCCCGGAAAAGCGTCCTTTTTGCCTCGCTGTCGTCTGGGATAAATACTAAGCGAAAAAAAAAAGTGAATGGATGAATGTGTGTGAGGCCGTGAATTCCGTCGGCTCCGAGCAGCGCACTCTCACAGAAATTAAGAGAAAGTGGTCGGACGTCAAGGTGGACGTAAAGAAGAGGATTGTCGGCCATCACCAAAGCGTGGCCCAAACAGGCGGGGGGAGAGGAGAGGATCAGCTCACCCCGTATGAGCAAAGAGTCTATTGTGGGTGACACTGCTCTAACTGGGGTGGTGGGAGCACATGTGGGTGACTCAGATCACCTCCAAGGTAAATGTATTTGTGTAACTCAGATTTATTCATTATACGGTTCATACAATAATCTGGTTCATGCGTAATCATGCCAGGATATCAAAGAAGAAATCGAAGACTTTGTTTCATGTTTACTTACTCAATTTATTATTTGCCAACAGACAATGAAGCAGTAGACGACAGTGAGGCGCAGTCCCAGCCTCGTGCCACAGACCCGGGGGATTCCTCCAGCCTCCCCGGCGTCAGCCGATCCTCCGGTCCGCCACAACAGCCAGGTGCTGATGCCCGTCCGACCGGCCGTGTCCTCACCCGCGCTGTGCTGGATTCGCAGGAGGACATCGTG